CAAGCCGCTATATAATCATATTTGTTTCCTCCGGACCCGGGATACCAGAGAACACCCTCATACCACCTCCTTTCGCTTCCTCCCCCTCAGCGAAGCTCCTACTTGACCACCGACCCATCAAATCTTCGGTCCTTTTCAACTCAAACCATCCGATGCAAGTGGACCAAAACGAGGACATCGAGCGTCGTGGTGCCCAAGGGTCCGATTCAGGCAATTCTGGCTGGACGCCCCAACCAGGCAGCAAATTAGTACATCGAATCTAGATTACGAATAACTATCATAAGCGCTCACCAAAGCTTCTTTCTATCTAGAGAGATAAACTCCAGAATCTTGCAGCATGGCGAATCGATCCAGCCTCGATCGAATTTCAGGAAGACGCCCCCGAGTTTCGTGGGGGACATGCGAGGGTTTCACGAGCGTTTTTGGTTTCTACCTCCAGTTCTGAGAGTAGCGTGGACGATTCAGCGGATACCTCAGGTGATAAAAAGTCTGGTGGTGGAATATCCAGCCGAAAGGTCAGTGCCATTTAGACTTATTTCCTACACGAATCGCTGAGTTCCACATACTAGGCCGTAGCAGTAAAAGAGCTGAACTTCGAGAGTGGAACAGACAAAGAACGAGTATTTGGGGTGAGAACGAGCTATCCCGTCGAGTCGGGCTTTCGGACGGCGCGCTAATTCCTCTTAGCTGGCACTCCGAGAAGCAGGATTCTTGACCAAACTTTGTCACGAAAATGTCATCAAGCTTGAAGGATTTGTTGAAGATCTGGCGGAGGATAGGGTCTGGCTTATCTTTCCCTGGGCAGCTGGCGGGAATTTAAAGGACTTTGTGGCCGCAGGCGACTGGGAGATTCCGGAGCGAATCTGGCTGGTAAGGTCAGGATCCTATCCTACAAGTCACATCTGAGAAACGGTACCCCAGATCCATGACGTGGCGAGAGGAGTGGAGTACCTTCACACTCAGAGTCCGTCGATCTACCATGGCGACCTCAAATCGGTGGGTCCGGATGTTACTGCGATATGTCACTTGGTAGGCTTAACTCTAAGCTGCATAGGTCAACGTGTTGGTGAACTTAAAACATCGCGCCGTCATCACGGACTTCGGTTCCGCCCGTCATCTTACGCGAACGGATCCTCCCGTGCAACCCGAAAGAAGCGAAAACGGAGCGCAGCCAACACTCTTGCTCGAGACGAAACTTTGTGAAGCCACTAATACCATGACACTGACGGGCAATCAATATACACTCCGCTGGGCTCCTCCAGAGTTGCTCATGGATGATGAACCTGGCCTCTGGAGTGATATCTGGGCATTGGGCTGGGTGTTTTATGAGGTACATCAAGACTTGAGAATTGTTATATAGAAGCTTACAATCAATGCTAAAATAGGTTATGACAAATTCAATTCCGTTTCAAAATATCCTAAAGGACTCCGTCGTTGTCATACACGTCATCCAAGGGAACCTCCCGTCCGTCGCTGACCACGCCAGCATGGTGTTGATACGGGAACTTTACTCTCTAATGATCATGTGTTGGAGCATCGATCCCAGTAAGCGGCCAACGGCTGGGACTTGTAGAAAGTTCATGAATCGGATGGCGAGTGGCCCTGGTTTTTGGGTCACTTGAACGCAATTTAACCTGCCGCTACGTAGCCCATGATTGTTCCAGATCGGCAGCGGGCTGCAAATACCTCAGTTTCGCAAAATCTCTCTCCTGAACTTCTTATCAAAATGGGACAAATGCATAGAATTCAGAATGACTATGTCAACGCGTCAAAATTTCTCACCGAAGCCTTGGACATCTGCACGGAGACCGCGGACAATGCAGCAAAAGCCGATGCTCTCTTTGGTCTCGCCGAAGTGAATCGGGGTCAAAACAATTACAACAAGGCCGTTCAGCTCTACTCGGAGGTCGTCCAAATCTACACCGACGTCGGCAACAGACGAGGAAGAGCCGACGCCTTGTGGGGTCTTGCCGGGGTGCATCGTAGTCAAGGCGAATACAGCGAAGCCACAAAGTTCTACTCCGAGGTCATCCAAACCTGCACAGAAATCGGCGACACACACGGGAAAGCCGATGCTTTGCGTGGTCTTGCCGATGTGCATAGAGCTCAGCACGAGTACAGCGAAGCCGCGAAGCTTTACTCCGAAGTCGTCCAAGTCTGCACGGACATTGGTGACAGGCACGGGAAAGCCGACGCTTTGCGTGGTCTCGCTCATGTGCATCGAGCTCAAAACGAATACGGCGAAGCTGTTCCGTTATACTCCGAGGCCATCCAAATCAGCACCGACATCGGCAACAGGCAAGGAAGAACCAACGCTTTGTGGGGTCTCGCTGAGGTGCATCGGCTTCAATCCCAGTACAGCCAGGCCGTTCAACTTTTCTCCGAAAGCCTGCAAATTTGTATCGACATTGGCGACAGAAGCGGAGCGGCCTGGGCTCTGATGAGCCTTGCCGACGTCCATTACGACCAGGATCAGCTCGAGGACGCGATACGCCTTTATGAACAAGCGGCTGGAATTTTTGAAGAAATCGGACCCACTCAAGATGCAGCAGAAGCAATAAACCGCGCCGCTGAAGCCCGTCAAAAACTCAAACCAGCCGAGGCCCAGTAATGTTTCACGGGGACATTTCGAGATCGACCGGAATTCGTTTTTTGATATCCGACTTTAGTTCATGTAACGCATGTTGCTGTATGAAATTGTAAGCTGTGTGTCGTGCTGGCTGAAATGCTGGAAATCCGTACGTCTGTGCTGTGTCGATCTTGTTCCGGGGATGCGTTCGATTTGATTAGGAACGTCCCGTCGTCTGCAAACCCCTCTAAAATGCATTTTAACTCACAGGCTTTCCTTTGGTCTTGATGACTCCGAGCTAGATGGAGGGCACTAGTCCAAAGTACTCTGTTCTCCGTTGTTTGTTCTGGCCGACTGAAGACCCTCTCACACGAAATTCTACCCCGCCGAGGAACATAAATGAGACTTCTTGGCGCTGGTTTTCTAAAGAGGCGATTCACGCGGGATAGGTGCACAGGCATGTAATTCTCGAGGAGAAAGTAAAAGGGCTAGCTAGATCCGGTGTATCTAAACACAGTGGTAAATCGCTTGGCAGGTGATCCCGCGGCCACTCCCGTCTGGGCCCGGAGGGCCCCAGGAAAAGAGTCGGCGACCGTTGTCCGATAGTGTTTCATACGTACATGCCGTTATAACTCTCAGCATCTATGTCATCTCAACCTCGAATCCATACCTTGTAGCAATTGAACTTTTGCCATCTGTGTTGCGCTGGGCCCATCCGGCATAGGCGGTAAACTGTCGGCCTTGAGCGTCGCCATCGATATTTGTCTGGAGTGTAGCGGCGGATTCTTTGAAGTAGAGGTCCTGCTGTTATCCTTGGAGTAAAGGCCTTCCCATGACGTTGAATGCAGAAGACACTTGAGCTGCCTTGAAACAGGATCATCGGTGATAGAACTGAGCACTCATCGAATTTCAAGCAGGATTACGGAGGGTGAAGCACTGTTGAACGGTAGTTAGTAGTCCTTTCCTATAGCGTGGTGTCTGAGCTCCAGAACCGATTCTTGGTTATGCTGCCCGAGGTGTCCATCCGTTCGGGCATCGCGCTTCTGTTCGCTTGGATAACCGTCAAGGTTTTTATTGCTTAGTGTTCGAAACAAGAAACCCTTGACATTCTCTAGAATAATCTAATTAAGGTTCATGACGTAGAGGCATCTTTCTGCGGTGTCACCATGGAGCGAACCCTCCTCTCCCAATTAGTCAGGTTGGGGTGTCGTTCTACTTCTCGTCTGACGGCCAGAGGACTTTGAAGAGCGGTATAGAGGTAAGCAAAGAGAAGTGCATCGAGAGCTGTCGGAGAACTAGAATAGCGTCGGTCAAGTTACGCGTTAGCAGTCCGCTTCGACATTTGTGAAAATTATATCGCGTACCTCGACCCTAACAACCACTCGTCCGTACCCAGACGATCGGAAAGCGACTGCATTGCCTTTCGGTATCGAAGGTAGACCGGGTAGCTCGGAATTTGAACGCCAGATGGCGGGAACGGTGTGGAAATCCCGGATAAAGGTGCGGGTGGTGGGTGAATGACGCTCTCTAAGGCGCGTCGAGGGCTATCTGAGAGCAGAGCAGCTAGAGTACGTTCTTTCGGATTCGCTATTTCCTAAAGTGAAGCGTTGTTCATGAAATGCTGATAATAAGGAATGTGAGGTTGGGTTCTCACCAGCTCCGAATGCACAGGTCCTTCCAATAAAGAAACCCACGCCCGACTTTCGTCTCTAGCCTCCGCATCCTTGTATCCTTCCAACGTATCGATCGGACTATTTTGTACGGTATCCGCCCACATGGGTATCCGTAAAGTACTGAGCAGCTTGCCGTTGGGCAGTTGCAAGGTCGGGAGATGTCCACCGACACCAGCTTCCCCAGCCACATCCCACCGCACGTCAAAGTCCTTGATTCCTCTTAACGAGAGGTAGGCTTGCCATTTGAGACATTCGACGTCGCGACTGAAATGGTCTTTCTCGTCAACCTCAAGTTTTCGTGGAGGCTCGATCCATAACGTTGGTTTGGTGATCGACTTGGAGTATGGATTTTCTGGGGCTGGGTATGTATGTAGCGGAAAGCTAGAGAAGAACTTGCGTATTGGTTCGGGAATAGTAAACACGGAGTTGGTGCTGCTCATGGTCGTTTTCGTTTCGGAGCCAAGACTCAGGACGTGAGAAACGTAGATGTTGGGAACGCCTTCAATAGTTAGGGATGTTGTAGGTTCAATCCTTAAAATTTTGGCTTCGGGTTTTTACCTTCAGCTACGAAATTTATAGGAGCTCAATGCAGACACGATATCAGTTGTCACTGTCGAGGATAGCCCAAGCCGGTTTGGGCGGGACGGTGGATCGCTTTCGTCAAAGCAAACGCAGGTCGGAAGGCAAGAACCTAACGTCACCCCAAGCAGCGCAAAAATACGAAATAAAGATCGAGAAAGATAAAAATCAAAAGGATATGACCGACGCAGGGGTTGAACCTGCAACCTCCCGCTTACCTAAGCAGGTTCAAACCCCGAAGGGGGCTGCTTATCGTAGGCGGACGCGCTGCCATTGCGCCAGACGGCCGTTATGGAAGGGGAGGATACCTAATTATATATATCGTCAAAAAGGACTCCGCTTACGGCACACGGTCTTTCTCGCATCCTTTCCCACTTTACCGTCAACCTAACCATGACCTCGAATCAAACCAGCATCGAGATCACTTATTCTTTCGACCTTCCTTCGGGCGTTGCCTCTCCGGCGTCGTCAACGTCTCAATCGTCGACGCACACGTACTCATTCGACGTGCAAAAGGGCGCTGGAAACAGTGAAGCGTACTATGACTCCTTCCTGCAAACGTTGAAGAAAGCAAGGGATGTCACAGGAAAGGATCTAACTGCTTGGAGGGATGCGGTTGGAGATGCCGAGAAGAACAAGGAGGTGGCTTTGAAGAAACCGCCGTCTGACGAAGACGAGGATGAAGACGATGAAGGGGCGGAGTGATGGCCAGCTTAAGGTGAGTCGTTCTCTAGTTTCTGGAGTGTACTATTCGCCTCAGTAATTCGACCTAGTATTGATACAGTGAAAAGAAATTGGCCTGGAGCATCCTTCACCATTACACCTTCTCCAGAATGACGGCGATACCCTGGCCTCCACCTGCATCGAAGGAGTCGATTCGTCAGCCTGTCGACGTCGTTGTGATAATAACATAGAAACTCACCAATACAAGCGGTTCCAAGTGCATACTTGAGATCTAGGCGGTGCAAGTTGTGCGTCAGGTTGGCCACAATTCGGGCACCAGATGCACCCAGAGGGTGGGCGAGAGCGATAGCTCCACCTAAAGATGCTGAAGTTAAGAAGAAGGTTCGCCTTGAGGAGCATAGAACAACTCCTACCGAACATGTTCGCCTTCTCGCTTGAAAATCCGAGCTCCTTCTGAACAGCTAACCATTGAGCGGCGAAAGCCTAGCAGATGCAAAATACGTCAATAAGCGATCCAGCAACGATTTTTCACAATTGTACCACATACCTCGTTAAGTTCGATGATGTCAATTTCATCCAACTTCAAGTTAGCTCTCCTTAAAGCCTGCTTCACTGCCTCCACGGGTCCAATACCCATGATCGTTGGCTCAACCGCACTGATACCCCAGCTGACAATCCTCGCCAGTGGCTTCACACCGTATCGTTTCAACGCTTCTTCGCTCATGACAACGTTTGCGGCAGCACCGTCTCCCATTCCACTGGCCGTTCCAGCTGTAACGGTCCCGCCCTTCTTGAACACTGGAGGAAGTTTCGCCAGGGCTTCGAGTGTGGTCTCTGGCCGAGGGTGTTCGTCCACGCTGAAGGTTTCGACACCCTTTCGGGTTGTGATGGTCACTGGAGCGATCTCGGCCGTGAAGGCACCCGCGGCGTTTGCTTCTGCCCAACGTTTTTGAGATTGGAGACCAAACGCGTCACATTCCTCACGAGTGACGCCGTATTTGTCAGCAAGGTTCTCGCCGGTAACTGGTGGTACGTGGTAAGAGAGACGGTTAGCGGTCGAGATGCTAAGAATCACCGGGAGTGGGTAGGACGTACTGGCCATTGGCGTTGGTTGCCACTGCCCCGGCGTTCCCGTAACCTGATCGGTCAATGCTGCTGCCAGAGAGTCGACTAGCTTTTGATCTTGCCCATACCGAGCACCCCACCGAACACCATGCAAGGTGTGCGGTGACATGCTCATATTCTCGCTACCACCTAGAGCCCCGTATCAGCACTCTCTCATCGTCCACGAACGCGAATGAAAGCACGATACCAGTGAGAACAACGTCGGCCTCGCCTAGTTTGATGTCCTGCGCTGCGTTAATGAGAGATTGGAAGCCGCTTCCACATAACCTAGAGGCAGGCTCGGGTCAGATGTCCGTTTTGGCCAGGACACATGGAAAGCGCCCCACCGGTTTACAGTCAACGCAGGAACGTGAACAGGTAGTCCAGCATAGTGCCCGACGTGTCGAGCCAAGTACGCGGCCGAGTTATCGCTCGCCAGGACACCCCTGTGGAGTTGCAACCTTTTGTCAGCCGGAACACGGTCGCCAACGAAAGAGGCAGCACCTTACCCAAAAATGACCTGGTCGACTTCAACCTCCTTAGGCAACGTATCCAGCGCCGCTCGCGAAGCAAAACCTCCTAGCTCCGAGGCCTTGAAGTCCTTTAACCTAGGGGACGAAGCCTGGTCAACATTGGCCGGAATAGGCTAGACCCGTTCAGCCTCCTACTTTCCACCAAACTTGCCGAAAGGAGTTCGCTTTGATGCTACAACGTACGCTTGTCGTGCGGAAGAGGCCATCGTTAGAGGAGGTGAGGGATTGCGGCGTCGAAGGGATGTAGAGGAAAGTCGTTGAAATGCGGACTGATCATCTCAGGGTCTCTCTCGAGCACGGGATTCCGGTTATGGCGGCCATTCTGGCAGCCGGACACACCAAAGAGCCCGTATTCGCTGACTACATACATGGAGGAACATTCAACAATGCGCGAGGATTCAACATTCAGTCGGGAAGGTCAAGGCTAGCATCTAACTGAGCCGCCAATCGATCAATCTCCTTCGTCTTCTGCTCAATATCACTGCTCCGCTCGCGCTTTTCGCAAAGCTTTACAAGCTCAGAGACAGGTATTCCGTACTCCTTGCTAAACTGTAGCATGAGGCGTGCTTTGGACATGCCTACACCTGCAGCACTTTCTTCCAACATATTGCTGCGAGGGTCGTAAGGCGACCGTTGTAAGTCTTCTCCCCCAATAGGATACCACGACGGAGCAGGATACTCACCACATCATCGCTACAGCTTGGGGATCCCCATTCCGGATAGCGCGATTCTTCATAACGTCAAACATCATCTTCCCCATGGCGTGCTGCAATACGACCCCGTGGTCCGGTTTCGGGTCTGGTTGCGTCAAGACATACGTGACATGGGGATTGTCTTTCAGCAAAGCCAGCTGGTTGACGAGGTCCGGAGAGCGTATGAAGCCAGGATCGGGTGGTGGGATGTCGTCCGAATTGGATGATTGCTGAATGGGAATTGGGCTCGGTCCTTCACCCGGGACTGCATATGGCTTCCCGCAAATGGTCTTGTGTGGTGGATTGCCGTGCTTCCAGTCCTTGAGTTGACATTCTCTGGAGATTCAAACGTTATGTGAGCCAGAGATCCGATGTTCAGGAGAGTGGAACCCACTTATTGCAGTACATCACTTTCCTCCCCACTGCCATGCACTTCGAACATCTTAGAAAGTTCGTCCCTTCTGGCAATTGGGAAGCCAGCTTCTCGCAGCTAGTGCAAGCTCTCTCTGCTTGCGAATATGCGCTTCTCGCGTCTTGGATGAGCTTCTTGCCGTCCTCCTTGGACAACCCCAAGTCCTTCGCCTTGCTCATGTTCTTAACGACTCTGAGATCTTCGTTGAAACTCGTCGTGGGTTTGACTGCCTTGTAGTTTTGGGACATGCCGTACATGTTGAGGAGGGTGTTCCAAAGGAAGAACGATAGGAAGAAGTTCCGGGAAAGGGATACATGGTTCTGCATGACGTCCCGAGCTGCGTCGCTCTCCCCCGGCGGACATGGTTCACCGATATGCCATATTCCGTCAAATACTGGGTGCGACACAAGAATAGGTGCCGAGCGTGGTTCTTCTGAGGGTGCTTCTCCGTTCGAAGTGTCGAGAACTGTGTTCAGGAGATCCAAGAATCCTTGTCCTCCATCCCTTTGGAGGAAGCTTATAGTCGTTTCGGGGCACCATTGTCTCCGTTCCTCCATATCCGCCACAGCCCCACTACTGATCACTAGCCCTTTCAGAATATACTCCGCGCGAGTTTCGGGTGACATGCTGAGCCATTTCGAGTCAAATTGGTCGGTCTCGCGTTTACCAGCGACCAGCTCCGCGAGATCCTTTTGCAGGACGCACAGCTGTTTGCGCTGCTCCTCCATCGACGCGAGCATCCCTTGGCCTAGTAGCTCGGCCGAAAAGTCCGATAAGAAGGAGAGATCGGGGTATGAAGGCAGCGGTTTGAACTTTTTCTCCAGATAGGCTTCCCATTCCTAGTCGATGAAGCATGAACGATCCAACCCTGAAGACCTTTTTTCAACGGAATCTCACCTTGTTCCAACTTTCAGGATCTTTGTCCCTATCTGCTTTCACGCCTCCGAATGGGTCCATGGCCTGAGACTGAGCAGGGAAGGAGAAATGTAAGGCAAGTTTTGGAATCGTGGTGGGAGAGTTCGGAAACGAGGCGTGATGTGTCGAGTCGCTTGTCCCAGCTTACATACGGAAATCGATGGCTCCGTGTCCTCGAGACCTTGCTACTGAAAGAGAAAGCATCCGCTCCTCTCGTGCAGTTGATTTTCAAACCTGACTGTTGCAAGCGAGGCACGAAGACCGGTTTGAAATTGCGAAGAGGGCAACGATCGGCCCTGTGATCACAACGGGGGCTAAGACGGGGACCTGGGCACAGAACGGTGTTTAGTGAAAGAAGGTTCCAGTTTTCACTTCCTCACCTCGAATTCAACGTACCCTTCGACACTACTATGGGAAAGAAAGTGTCATTGTTAAAAGCCTTGAAGAATCATCAAGCACGGTTCGGGGTGAGCGAGCGCGTTCAACAAGCTCAGCGTGAGGCAGCCGTCAAGCGAAAAGTCTCCTCATCAAAGCGACGAGGTCTTCATGACGAGAATAGTACTTGGAAAGGGAAGGGGAAAGAGGAACCGAAGCGTTATACCATTCCGTTTGAAGAGGATGATCGAATCTTGTTAATCGGGGAAGGTCAGTGATCCAAGTCCTCTTGCTCTGGAGTCTTATGACTGACGGAGGAGAGCTTTCCAGGAAACTTTTCTTTCACTCTCTCCCTCATCAAGAACCACCACATCCCCCCTTACAACATCCTAGCGACCACACTAGACTCTGAAACAGACTGCTATGCCAAATACCCAAACGACGCTTCTGCGATCGTCTCAGAGCTGCGGAACCTTGGAGCTCGGGTAGTCTTTGGCGCTGATGCTACCAAGTTGGAGAAGAGCAAAGACGTCATACAAGCGAAAGGAGGGTGGAATAAAGTTGTATTCAACT